GGGGCGTCGCGGCAGCCCCCGGCCGCCCCGCCGCCACCGCCGCCGCCGCGGTGGACGCCAAGCTGGAGGAGCTCATCCGGCAGTTTGAGGCCGAGTTCGGCGACGAGTTCGCGCCGCCGCCGTCACCGCCGCCGCCGGCCGCCGAGCCGCCCCGCGCCGCGCGCTCCCCCAAGCAGATCAAGATCGAAACCTCTGGTGCTATTACGGTGCTCTCGACCACGTGCTTCGAGTCGGAGGAGAGCCGCGGCGAGGAGGCGGCCGGCGCGCCGCCCGCGCACGAGCCGCCCCTGGCGCCCACGCTCAGCGCCTTCCTCGAGTCGCCCCTCAAGTACCTGGACACCCCCACCAAGAGCCTGCTGGACACCCCCGCCAAGCGCGCCCAGGCCGAGTTCCCCACCTGCGACTGTGTCGGTGAGTTCTTCCCCCCACGTACTTCCCGCCTGCTTCCTGCTCACTTCCCCACTGCTTCCCACATGCTTCCCATGCACTTCCTGCATGGTTTCTACTCCCTTCTTGCGTGCTTCCTGCACACTTCCTGCTCGCTTCCTGTGTACTTCCCACTCACTTCCCATGCTCTTCCGCCACACTTCCTGCTCACTTCCCAGTCACTTCCTGTCCACTTCCTACATGCTTCCTGCTCACTCTCCATGTTTCCTGCCCATTTTCCACATGCTTCCTGCTCACTCTCCCTGTTTCCTGCTCACTCTCCATGTTTCCTGCCTACTTCCCACACACGTCCTGCTCACTCTCCGTGTTTCCTGCTCACTTTCCACACACTTCCTGCTCACTCTCCGTGTTTCCTGCTCACTTTCCACACACTTTCTGCTCACTCTCCATGTTTCCTGCTCGCCTTCCACACGCTTCCCGCTCGCTTCCCACACACTTCCTGCGCCTTCCCCCGCCCGGGTTTCCAAACAGGCCTCTCCCACTCCTTTGTACCCCGGAATGTCAGCGGGGCCGCGTCCAAGACACGCGTGTCCGAGGGCTCGCGCCCCGTGCGCTGCCTTTCACCAGCGTCACCCCGCGGTCCCTGCATCAATTTGCTGGCGAGTCCCCTGCACTCAGGGGCAGACAGGCCCAGCACGTCCCCCCGGCTCCGTTTGGGGCACTTCAGGGTTGTTTCCTCCCTTTTCCTCCCAACTCCGGGGCTGTTGGGCTCTTTCCCGCTGCCTTTCCCGGAGGGAGAGCGGGAGCCGGCGGCTCGCGGGCAGCTGCAGCCCAGCTGAGCGCAGCCTTTCTCCTGGCCCTGGCGCCCGGCCAGCGGGACGTGCCGGGAATGAGGATGGGCACACGGAGAGGGGCGGCCCCGGCGCCATCCCGGCCGCGAGCAGCGCGCCGGCCGGATCAAAGCTCCCGCTGTTCCCAGGGATGGGGGTAGCGTGCGAGGGCCGGCCGCTGGGATGCGCTGCAGGAAAAGCGGCAGGAAATCCCGGAACTTTGGCGGAGTTTGGAAAGGGGAGCCCGGAGCGCTGACGCTGTGCAGAGCCCTGCAGCTCTGCAGGGCAGGGAAGGGGCTGCGTGGTCCTGGGTGGGTTTACGTGTGGCTCCGGGGGGCTGCGTGGGTGACTCCTGATGCCCATCCCATGGGATCTGAAGCAGAGAGCCGCATGGAGGGGTCCCGATTCCCCACTTCAGTGGACCCACTTTAGTGACCGGCGTCTCTCCCTGCACAGAGCAAATTGTGGAGAAGGACGAAGGACCCTATTACACCCACCTGGGCTCGGGCCCCACCGTGGCCTCCATCCGGGAGCTCATGGAGGAGCGGTAAGGGAGCCGGTGCGCGCTGTGAGCGGGTGCTGCAGTGCTGCGAGGGCGAGCGGGTGCTGCAGTGCTGCGAGGGCGAGCGGGCGCTGCGGCACTCGCTGCCGCCGTGCGCTCACCGCCGCCCCGCCGCAGGTACGGAGAGAAGGGCAAGGCCATCCGCATCGAGAAGGTCATCTACACGGGCAAGGAGGGCAAGAGCTCCCGCGGCTGCCCCATCGCCAAGTGGGTGAGTGCCCTTTGGCCCCGTCTCTGCCCCCTTGTTTGCAAATCCCCTCCTGTGCGCGGCAGCGGGGTGGGAATTTCGCCTGCCGCCATCCCGCCCTTGTGCCGCGCTGCAGGTGATCCGCCGGCACAACCAGGAGGAGAAGCTGCTGTGCCTGGTGCGCCACCGCGCCGGCCACCACTGCCAGAACGCCGTCATCATCATCCTCATCCTGGCCTGGGAGGGCATCCCGCGCACGCTGGGCGACACGCTCTACCAGGAGCTCACCGACACCCTCACCAAGTTCGGCAACCCCACCAGCCGCCGCTGCGGCCTCAACGACGAGTAAGTCCCGCCGCGCCGGCCCCGTCTCCGTGCGTCCCGGCTCGCCGCATCCCCGTCCCCACGTCCGCCCGGCTCCCCTCTCCCGCAGCCGGACCTGCGCCTGCCAAGGCAAGGACCCCAACACCTGCGGCGCCTCCTTCTCCTTCGGCTGCTCCTGGAGCATGTATTTCAACGGCTGCAAGTACGCGCGCAGCAAGACGCCCCGCAAGTTCCGCCTGGTGGGCGACAACCCCAAGGAGGTGAGGCTGGCCGCCTGTTTGGCGTGGGGGGAAACGCGGGAGGCCAGGGTGCCCCGTTGTCCTTGTCCTCCCCAACCGGCACCCATCGCCCGCCTTGCTTTCGTTGCAGGAGGAGCTGCTCCGGAAAAGCTTCCAGGATTTGGCCACGGAGGTTGCTCCGCTCTACAAGAGGCTGGCGCCGCAGGCCTACCAGAACCAGGTAGCGGCCCCCGGAGCCCCCCGGGCCCCGGAGCGCCCCGGCAAGCGAGCGGGCGGCACAACGAGACGGGACCCCCCGCTTCTCGGCCCTGCAGGTTACGAACGAGGACGTGGCCATCGACTGCCGCTTGGGCTTGAAGGAGGGCAGACCTTTCTCGGGGGTGACGGCGTGCATGGACTTCTGCGCCCACGCGCACAAGGACCAGCACAACCTCTACAACGGCTGCACCGTGGTGAGTGCGGGCCCTGGGGCTGCATGCAGGGGGTCTAATCTGTGCATGTCCTGGGCCCCGAATCCCTCGGTGCACAGTGCCCTGAATGCATGTGTGCACCGGGCCTGGAATCTGTCCGTGTGCAGTGCCCAGGATCCCTCCATGCATGATGCCAAAATCCCTGCATGCAGAGTGTCCTGAACCCCTGTGTACAGAGTGCCTGGAGTCCCTGTATGCAGAGTGTCCCAAATCCCTCCTTGCACGGTGCTTCAGATCTGTGCACGCTCAACACTCTGATTCCATCCATGCACAATACCCTGAATCCACACGTGCACCATGCCCGGAATCTGGGCATGGTGCCTTCAATGCATCCATGCACCATGCCTGGAATTCCTCCATGCACAGTGCCCCGAGTCCATCCTTCTCCGGTGCCCCAATGCGTCCGTGCGCGGTGTCCCAAACCCTCTGCGCACGATGCCCCCAGATCCCCCGCAGACTCCGTGCGGGAAGGCCGTGCGCTCCGGCGGCGCTGAGCGCTGCGCCCGCCGCAGGTCTGCACGCTCACCAAGGAGGACAACCGCGTGGTGGGCAAGATCCCCGAGGACGAGCAGCTCCACGTGCTGCCCCTCTACAAGATGTCCAGCACGGACGAGTTCGGCAGCGAGGAGAACCAGAACGCCAAGGTGGGCAGCGGCGCCATCCAGGTGCTCACGTCCTTCCCGCGCGAGGTGCGTCGCCTGCCCGAGCCCGCCAAGTCCTGCCGCCAGCGGCAGCTCGAGGCCAAGAAAGCCGCCGCCGAGAAGAAGAAGCTGCAGAAGGAGAAGCTCCTCACGCCGGAGAAGATCAAGCAGGAGGCGCTCGACGTGGCGCCGCTGCAGCAGGACGCGGGTAACGGGGCGCGGGGCTGCGGTGGAGGCGGTGGCGCCGGCGGGCGCTTTGCGGCGCGCTCACGGCGTGCTCTTGCCCGCAGGTGGGACCCTGCCGAGCGGCGCTCTGCCCCTCAAGTCGCCCATCAAGGTGGAGGCGCCGGCTCACTACAATGCCTTCAAGTACAACGGCAACGCGGTGGTGGAGAGCTACTCGGTGCTGGGCAGCTGCCGGCCCTCCGACCCCTACAGCGTCAGCAGCGTTTACTCCTACCATTCCTACTATGCACAGCCCAATCTGCCTTCGGTGAACGGGTTTCACTCCAGGTTCGCCCTGCCGCCCTTCGGCTACTACGGCTTCGCCCGCGGCCCCGTCTTCCCTTCTCGCCTCCTCGACTACGGGCGAAGCGGCGCCTGGGCCAGCAGCGGCTTCGACGCCAAGGAGCCGCTGGGTCGCTCCTACTCGCCGCCCGTGTTCCCCGAGCCGGCGCGCGGCCGCAACCATCACCAGCGCACCTACGAGCGGGCCGCCAGGGCCAAGGCGGCGGGGGTGCCCGGCGTGGGCACGGCGGGGCAGGAGAGCGGCACGGCGAGTATGCACGGGAGCGGCGCCGCAGGGATGCCCGGCAGCGCCGTGGTGCCGGCGGGGATGCGCGGGAGCGGCGCCGCAGGGATGCCCGGCAGCGCCGTGGTGCCGGCGGGGATGCACGAGGCCAGCGCAGCAACCCCGGCGATGCACGCGGCCGACACGGCTCTGGCAGCGATGCCTGGTGCTGCTGCAGCTCCGGCAGCCGTGCACGGAGCCGGTGCATCCCCAGCAGCCATGCACGGAGCCGGAGCAGCCCCGGCAGCAATGCACGGAGCCGGAGCCGCTCTCGCAGCGATGCACGGGGCCGGCTCATCTCTGGCACCGCTGCATGGAGCTGCTGCAGCCCCGGCACTGATACCCGGAGCTGGAACAGCCCCAGCAGCCGTGCACGGAGCCAGCGCCGCTCCGGCGGCAGTGCCCGGAGCCAGTAGCGCTCTGTCAGGGATGCATGGAGCCGGAGCGGCTCCGCCACCGATGCACGGAGCTGACGCCGCTCCGGCGCCGATGCACAGGGCCGGCGCGGCCCCGTCTTGCTGCGGGGGCCGCGCCATCAAGCAGGAGCCGGTGGAGTCGCCAGTGGGCGGCGGGGTCCCCGTGGCCGCGCGCAACGGGGCGCCCGAGCCGCCCTGGGGCCCCGCGGCGCCGGCCTCGCCGCAGAGGACTAGCGGCGGGCGGGAGGCGGGCGAGCCGCGCTGGCGGCCGCGCGGCGCCGCGTGGAGCCCCGCGCTGCAGGGCCTGGGCGCGCTGCCCGCAGAGCCCTGGGGCTCCGCGCTGCCCGACAAGCCCTGGGAGGGCTCGGCCTGGGAGCCCTTCGGCGCCGCCACGGAGCTGCCCGAGAGAGCCGCCAAGGCGGAGGAGGACGAGGACGAGGAGGAGGACGAGGAGGAGGAGGAGGAGGAGGAGGAGGAGGAGGAGGAGTGGTCGGACAGCGAGCACAACTTCCTGGACGAGAACATCGGCGGCGTGGCCGTGGCGCCGGCGCACGGCTCCATCCTCATCGAGTGCGCGCGCCGCGAGCTGCACGCCACCACGCCGCTCAAGAAGCCCAACCGCTGCCACCCGACGCGCATCTCCCTGGTCTTCTACCAGCACAAGAACCTCAACCAGCCCAACCACGGCCTGGCCCTGTGGGAGGCCAAGATGAAGCAGCTGGCGGAGCGGGCGCGCGCGCGCCAGGAGGAGGCCGCGCGCCTCGGCCTCGGCCCCGACGCCGCCAAGGCCTTCGGCAAGAAGCGCAAGTGGGGCGGGGGGCTGCTGGCCGAGCCGCCCCCCAAGGAGAGGAGGGACCAGGTGCCCACGCGGCAGGCGGTGGCGCTGCCCACGGACACGGCCATCACCGTCTCCTCCTACGCCTACACCAAGGTGACCGGTCCCTACAGCCGCTGGGTCTGAGCGGCCTCTTACCTCAACAGCCGGCGGCACCGCCGTGCCGCCGCCCCTGGTGCTGTCTCCTCGTGCATGTAGGAGAAGAAGACGAACAGAAGAAGAATATATATATAAATATATATATATACACACACACCCCTTAAAAAAAGAGAAAGAAAAAAAAAAAAAATTACGTTCCACTCGAGTGCAAAACCCTTGGGAAATGGAAACAAAACAAAACAAAACAAAAAAGAAATCCTGCACTTTGCGAGTTTTTAACAAACAAAAAAGAGCGAACTGAAAACTGGGGGGAAAAAACAGAAGAAAATTTTAAAAAAAGAAAAAAAGGAACCACGCCGTTAAGGTTTTTTTTTTTGGGTAATCAGCTATTTATAATATCGCCGCGTTTTTTTAAGAAGCGATCCTTGTACGTCGCAGGAGCGGAGAGAAGAGTTTATAGCGTCCTTTCGCAACGGAGAGGTTTTTAATTCCATTTGAAAATGTGTATTTATTGGATTTTTTCCTTTTTTTTTGGTGTCGTTTTTTGGGTTGCTCTGTTTTTCTTTTGGAACCCTTCGTGGCAGCGGTGGAGCTGGGAGCGAGCGGAGGGGAGAGACGGGTGCCGTTATCCTGCTCATCTCTTCCCGGCGCCAGATTCCCTATGGTGCTTTTAATCCTGGAGCCGAGGCGGCCTGAAGCTGCGGGAAACGGGGCCGAGCGGCGGCGGGAAGGCGTCCGGGAAGCGCCGCGGGAAAACGCTGTGGGAGCCGGATCCGAGCGGCAACAGAATCCGTGGGAAATGCCGTGGGATGCGAGGCCCAAAGTGTCCAAGACTGCAGGAAACGCTGCAGGGAACGTTGCAGGGAACGTTGCAGGGAACAGTGCGGGAAGTGGCTCCGAGCGATGGCGGGAAGCCCGGGAAGCGCTGCCGGGAGCGGATCCGCATGGCAACGGAGACGGCAGGAAACGCCGTGGGAAACGGCTCCGAGCGGCATCAGGGACCACGGGAAACGCCGCCCGCCCCGCGCCCCCGACTCCCTCTTCTCCAGCGCCGCTTTTTCCCGGTGCTTCCGGCGCGGCAAGAAGAGGAGCGGAGGCGGCGGCGGCTCCGGCCTCCGGGAGGAGCCGGGAAAACGCCAATTCCCCCTTGGAAACTGTGACGCGCGGGAGGCTCCGCGCTGGTGCTGCGGCCGCTGCTCCCGGCATCCCGGGAGCCGGCCCTGCCTCCGGGCAGCTCCGGGAAGCGCTCCCGGTTTGCCGAGCCGAGCGGAGCGCTGTGCAAAAAAACCCTGGCCCCCGCGGGGCTTCCCGGTGCCATTCCCATTCCTCCTGCAAAGAACAGGAAGCAGAAGAAGAAAAATAGGAGAAAAAAAAAAAAAAATGGTGCTTTTTTACCGTTTTCCCCCCGCGTTTTTCCCCTCCTCTGGATCCGCGAGCTCGCGGGGTGCCGGCGACCTCGGTCGTTGTTTTTTGCACTTTCCGGTGCCTTTTGGGGAGCGAGGAAGAGCGCCGGCCCCCCGGTGTCCCCACGGGGGTCCCTGCCCCCCGGCACAAGCGGGAGCCCCCCGGCCCTGCACCCCGCTCGGCTTGGACCCCCCCG